ATTCACTGTCCATGACACACGGCCTAGGTCGTACGGAAATAATTCCTAATCTTCTTTCACATCTTAACACAATCTCCTTTTTCTCAGAGAACTTTGCCTTACTTCCTAACTAGGTCAAGTGAACCTATTACGTGGTGTGGCACCTGACATGGCTATCATCTTGCAGTTATTAGTGTCATCGTTTTATTATCTGTCACCTGCACTAGACTGTAAATTCCATGAGAGCAGGGACCAGTTAGTTTTCCTCACTGTTATAGTCTTAGTCTTGCATTACATCTAACACTCAGTAAATATTCAATAAATACATCTTGATGGCATATTTGAATATGTTTGATTGTGTATAAAAAATTATTTATAAAGGAGAAGGAACGTGGTTGGGAGGATGGTGACCTAGAAGCCTTTCTCTTTCCCATCTATATGCTTCTATACTTTCTGAAGTTTTTACAAAGAATGTATACAAGGGGTCTTCAAAACGTTAATGGAGGGTTGACCCCATGGTCAACCATGGTTTGAACCCCAGTGCCAGTGGCTTGAAAAACATGTCAGGGGGCCAGCAGGTAGCATGGTGGTTAAGACACTGGACTCCCAGGGAACCAGCAGTTAGCGTAATGGCTATGTCGCTGGACTCCCACGTAGTCGACCGCGGTTCGCGTCCCGGACCCGGTGGCTTAAAACTCAAGCCGGGCGCGTGTGTGTGCGTGTCCAAGATCCCGAGAGGAGAATGGAGGAGAAGGGATTGTGGCGTGACCATCCCCCCTGGGGGGTGATTTCTTGCTTTCTGTCTCTCTGTCTCTCTCTGTCTGTCTGGCAAGCACACACGCCCTATAGCAAAAACCTCTCCAAAAAAAACAAAGACTGGACTCCCACATGGCTGACCCTAGTTCGAGTCCCAGACCTGACAACTTGACTTTCTCACTTTTTCTCTTGCTGTTTCTCTCTCTAGGTCTCTTTCTGGTAAGTGCCCATACCTTATAGCAAATTTTAAATAATAATAAATAAATAAATAAATAAATTTAAAAATTTAAAAAAAAACATGCCAGGCATGTGTACCCAAAATCCTGACAGGACAGAGAAATAGAGGATAAGGGATTGCAGTGTGACCATATCACATGGGGGGGGAGGGGTGTTTTCTCTCTGTGTCTCTGTCTCTCTCTCTCTAGTAACCATATGTTCCCTCTGGCCAATTTAAAAGAACAGTTCAGGGGCAAGCAGGTGACATGAAGGTTAAGGCAGTTGAGTCCCTTATGGCCCACTGTGCAGTTCAAAGGCCAGACCTAGAAGCTTGAAAACACATCATGTACAGGTGTGTGTGTGTGTGTGCCAAAAATCCCAAGGGAATGGAGGAGAAGGAACTGCGGCATGGTTATCCCCTCTATGGGGGTGATTTCTCTCTCTCACACATTCTCTCTCTCTCTCTCTCTCTCTCTCTCAATCTGTCTCCAGTGAGCACACATACCCTATAGCAAAAAAGTTAAAAATTAAAAAAAACCTTCACAATTTGTTTTTTAAAAAATTCACATAGATATGGAAGTAAAGAGCAATTTTATTTTGGTTCAAAGGAATATTTGAAATTCATAGTGCTTTTTTCATAATACGCATTTTCTATGAACTTTCTGAAGATCCTTCATATTCATTCATCTATTATTCTGGAAATTAAAAATGAACAGAGAGGATGCCAGTTCTGTAGCCTAGTGGTTAAGGGAGCTTGATCACCCATGGCTGACTATGGTTCAAATCTTGGCCCCAGAGGCTTGAGAACTACACTGGAAGTGTGTGCATGTGTGCCCCAAATCCCCACTCCCTGTCTGGTGAGTACAAGCACTCTACATTTATTATGAACAAACAGGTAAAGATACATTAAAAAGGGAAAGGAGGAGAAGGAACCGCCTCTGCAGTAACAAAAGTTAGAATCTTCAGTGTGGAGTACTAATCATTGCCCTAAAGAGCTGATATTGGGACTAGCAGATAGCATAATGGTTACATTGCTGGACTCCCACATGGCCGACCATGGTTCGAGTCCCAGACCCAGCGGCTTGCTCTCTCACTCCCGCTGTACTCCTCTCTCTTTGTCTCTCTCTGGTGAGCGCATGTCCTAGCCATAATGGTAACTCTGAACAGCTAGTCAGTATCACAAATTTCCCATACGAAAAATAAAAAAACTTTGTCTTCAGAGGCCAGCAGGTGGTGTGGAGGTTAAGGTGCTAGAGTCCCACATGGCCAACTGCAGTTCAAGTCCCAGACCTGGCAGCTTGCTTTCTCACTTTCTCTCAGTCTCACTCTCTCTCACGTGCGCACGCACACACACACAGGCCCTATAAGCAAGTTGAATAATGATTATAATAATAATTAATAAAACTAAATAAATAATTCTTTTTAAGAAATTACCTTCCATCATAAAACTAATCATCTTTCTGCATCTGTTTCACTTTGTAATAACAAGATTTTCACATAGTCCTTCAAGATGGAAATTTTGGAATTATCTTTAACTTCCCTCTTTCCTTGTTTGCATCCCAAGTTACATTTGTTATCAAATCCCACAAAGTCAGTATTAGAGATGCACCCTGAGATGGTCCATCCTTTCCACCCCATAGCCTAAGATCAGCCTCTCTGGTATTATCTGAGATACATCAACAGTCTTCTGGCCCTGTCTCTGCCAACGGTCCCTCCTCTGTCCAATCCATTCTCAATACAATCCTCTGAGTTACCTTCCTAACAGGCAAAGCTGACTATGTCACACTCTGCCACAACTGAGGGATGCCTCACTGTATCCAGTAGCCTCCTCGGCCCTTCATCATCTGTCCCCCACCATGTCTGGCCTCCAGCACACTCCCCACATGTACGAAATAGCTGAACTTCTCACTTTGCCCTGGAAAGGTCAGACCATCTCATAACCATGCTTTAAACATGCTGTTCTCTCCACTTGCCTTGCCTTGCCCATGCTTTCCAAAAGTAAGCAGTATCGCGTGTCAAGGTCCAGCTTCCTCTGAAGTGACTCCCCTCATCACTTAGCCATTCAACAATAATGTCCTGCGCATCTATCCACATGACATACACCTTCACCTCAAGACACCCATACTCTCGTTTATACTCTTTCTGTACTTTGTTCACACAAGGTAGGAAGGGATCTCTTCAAAAAGTTCATGAAAATGCATATTACAAAAAAAACTATGTGTGGATTTCAAATAATTTTTGCACCAAAATAAACTCATACTAATTTGTTATATAACACCTCTGAACAGGGTCTAGTTTGAGGCACTAAGACAGATAAGACAATCAGTTTGGAAAGAGCACCTATCAGAGCAACAGAAATTCTGCTAACATTGAAGTACAAACAAACATCAAATTTATGGTGATGCTTGGGTGGGAGAATGTTGAAATCACTGATGTTTTATAAGAAGTTTACAAGGCCAGCGCCCCAAAGAAATGAGCAGTTTAAAAATAGGTAACTTTAAGAAGGGACCGGGCAATGTTGACGTGACACCTGAGCAGCAGGCCATCCACATCTATTGGGTTGCTGGAAAAGTCATGATGCATTTTTACATAGGAAAACAAAAAAGTACATTATGACTTTTCCGACAACCCAATATTTATGAGGAAAAAATTAATCTAATTCATGTCTTAGTTGAAGACGACTAAGGATTCACAACAGTAAGAATAGCCAACACCACAGATATCGCAAATGGTTCAGTTTATGCAATTCTGACTCAAACATTAAAGGTGAGCAAACTTTCTACTCGATGGATGCCAAAACTATTACACCCAGATCAGCTGCAGGTAAGAGCAGAACTTTCGATGGAAAATTTAAACTAGTGGGATCAAGATCCCAAAGTATTTTTTCTAAGAATTACAACAGGAGGTAAAACATGGTGTTACCAGCATAATCCTGAAGATCAACCACAAAGCAATGGTCCCCAAGAGGTGGAACTGGTCTGGTTAAAGCAAAAGTGGCCCAGTCAAGAGCAAAGGTTGTGGCACCAGTTCTTCTGTTTGGTTGGTTGTTTTGTTTTGTTTAGATTTTTGCCATAGGGTACGTCTACCCATCAGAGAGAAACAGAAAGTAGAAAAGAGAAAAATCAACTCCCAGGAGGAATGGCCGAGCTGCAATTCCTTCTCCAGTTTCCTCCCGAGATTTGGGGCACATATGCATACATACATGATTTTCTAGCTGTCAGGTCTGGGAATGGAACTGCAGTTGGCCATGTGAGAGTTCAGCACCTTAACCACCATGCCACCTGCTGGCCCCCATGGCAACAGCTTTTTGTGATGCTCATAGCATTTGCTTGTTGACCTCTGGAGGGCCAAAGAACTAAAATATTTGCTTATTATGGGAGTATTTTGAGAAAGTTAGCTAAAGCTTTAGCAAAAAAAAAAAAAAAATGTCCAGGACTGCTTTATCAGAGAGCTGTTGTCCACCACAATAACACACCTGTTCATTCCTCTCATCAAACAATGGCCTTTCTCAAGAATTCTGATGGGCAATTAGTCAGCATCCATCTTACAATACTGATTTGGATCCTTCTACCTTCTTTTTGTTTCCTAATCTTAAAAATAAACACTCATTTTTCTATGGTCAATAATATAAAAAAGACTGTACTGGCATGGCTCAATACCAGGACCTTCGGTTCCTTGGGGATAGACCAGATGGATGACGTCATCACTTACAAAAGTGTCTTGAACTTGGTGGGGCTTATGTTGAGACATAGAGTTTATATTTTCTATTTTTAAATTCTACTTTTCTATGAACTTTTCGATGTCCCTTCATACTGCTATTATTACATTTTTCACCTTCCATCACAGTTACCCTTTTACATGTCTACCCTCCCAACTGGATCATGAGATCTTTGCAGGCACGGCTTCTGTCAATCGCATTTTAAGCATCCAGGATACTGACTTTGTTCAAACTAGTCAGTTTTAACCATCTTATGAGTAGCACTCATGAGTAACAAATAATGACGATTAAATTTTCAGCATTAGTGCCTGAAACAAACACCTGCACTTACCTCATAGGTCCATAGTTCAGAATTATAAATGCCAATACAATCATCACACAGACGGCTCTCCGCTTTGGACTAGGGACTTTAAGCCTCTGGTTCTAAACGGAATGAGCATATTAAATACAATTAAATTACACATCAATTACAATGAAAATACCTATCCTCCCTTTTTTTTGGGGGGGGGAGATTTTTGCTATAGGGCACGTGCGCTAGCCAGACAGACAGAGAGAGACATAGAGACAGAAAGCGAGAAATCACCCCCCAGGGGGGATGGTCACACCGCAATCCCTTCTCCTCCATTCTCCTCTCTGGATCTTGGGCACGCACACACACGCGCCCAGCGTGAGTTTTAAGCCACCGGGTCCAGGACGTGAACCGCGGTTGACTACGTGGGAGTCCAGCGACATAGCCATTACACTAACTGCTGGTTCCCCCTATCCTCCTCTTCACCAGTTATATGAATATCTTTTTTTTTTAATTTTGCTAGAAGGCACATGTGCTCCCAGGAGAAAGAGGGAAAGAAAGAGCAGGAAAGTGAGAAAGCAACCCCGATGAAGAATGGCCATGCAACAATCTCTTCTCCTTTCTGGATTTGGGTATGCACACACATGCACCTAGTGTGTTTTCATGCCACCAGGTCCAGGACTCAAACCACACAGTTGGGCAACTGCCTTAACTACCATGCCACTGGCTGGCCCTATGACTATCTTTTCTTATTTAAAAATAGAAATAAAACTCAAAGATGAGGAAATAGTACTTTTCAAAAGACTACAGCAGAGCCTTCCAAGTTCCTGTTTTTAGCAGACAGAGAAAAGGACCAAAGCAAAATGAAAAACACACAGCAGGGGCTGGGTAATGGTACAGGGATAACCCAACTGGACCCAATTGGAAAGGTCCTAGGTTCATGTCCTGGGATCTCCCTGAGCATGCTGGGTTCATACACCTGTGCCTGTGATCCCGGCCTGCTGAGACTAGGGGTGTATTGTAAAGACTCTGTTGGGGATGCTTGTCTCCTGTTCTCATAAAACAAAGGAATAAACAAGCTTAAAAAAAAAAAAGGAAAAAGATATAGGACCAGTCAGTGGTGTGGTGCTTAGGCACTAGACTCCCACATGGCCAATCACAGTTCAAGTCCTAGACCTGTGTGGCTTGAGAATCACACCAGGAGCATGTGTGTGTATGCCCAGATCCCAGGAGGAGAATGGAGGAGAATGGAGGAGAAAGGACTCCTGTCTCTCTCTGTATTATCTCTGGCGAGCACACACACTTCATAGCAAAAACATTAAAAAGGTGGGGGGGAGAGACCTAGCAGGATATTTAGGACCCTCGATGTGATACATTTAGTCAGGGGAAAAAAGGACGGGAGGGGTGGTTTCAAAGATAACAACTGCAGAAAAATCCAAGAAAGGAGGCAACTTCTATATGTAGTTGGGAGGGCCCTCTTTCTAGTGTGTTATCCTTACTGAAAATATGTTAGGACTTATTACATCCTCATTCTCCCAGCATGATGATGTCATAAAATTTAAAGTATAATGAGACCAGCAGATGGACTAATGGCTATGTCACTGGACTCCCATGTAGTTGACCATGGTTTGAGTCCTGGACCCAGCAAGTGTGCGTGCATGTGTGCGTGCGTGCCCAAAATCCTGAGAGGTGAATGGAAGAGAAGGGACTGCAGTGTGGCCCCCCCCTCTGTGGGGGGGGGGGAGGTGATTTCTCACTTTCTGTGTCTCTGTCTCCCTCTGTCTCTGCAGCAAATTCACATGCCCTATAGCAAAAATCTCTCTTTAAAAAAATAAAGTATAAAATTGTATAGATTTATCTATCTGGGAAAACCCTTAAACCCGTATCTTCCTGGCCCGATCGCAAGCACTCACCTCTAACACAACTTCGTCCAGCTGCCGCTTCAGGGACCCATTCTCTTTCTTAAGCTGCTCGTTCTCTGAGAGGGCTGCCTTTAACCTTGCCTCGAGCCCCAGCATGTATTCTTTCTTCTTCTTGCGGGACTGACAAGCAGACTCTCGATTTTTGATCATTCGTTGCTGTCTCCTGAGCACAGCCATCTAGGAAAAGTGACAATGAATCAGAACACTCCCATTTTAGAACCAGATAAAAGTGGATAAGAATACACTGGTTTTTATATTTGTAAACAATAATTGTTCAAAAGCATACATTATCTTTTTTTCCCACCTTTATTGGCTTATATCTCCTATCAGAGACAGAAAGAGAGCAGAGGAGAGAGATAAAAGACAGAGAGAGACAAGCACCCCAAACAGGGCCTTCACTCTGGAATCTAGCCCGAGACTCAGCCAGTCGGGATCACAGGTACACACAAATGCATGCCCAGCAAGTTTACAGTTCTTTTAAAACAGGTTTTTGGGACCAGCTGATGGCGTAATGGTTCCATCACTGGACTCCCACATGGTTGACCACAGTTCGACTTCTAGACCTCGTGGCTCAAACTCATTCCATGTGCGTTTATGAGTGCCCAAAAAATTTCGAGAGGAGAAGGGACTGTGGAGTGGCCATCCCCCCCCCCACCCCCGGGGTAGGGGGGGGCTGATTTCTCACTTTCTGTCTCCCGATCTCTTTCTGACTCTCTGCTGAGCACACGCACTCTATAGCAAAAATCTCTCAAAAAAAAAAAAATTCTACTCAAATTAAGTAAATTAAAGTCAAATGACTGAAAACCTAACCTAAATGTTAATTTCTTCTGGGGCCAGCAGATGGTATGGTGGTTAAGTCGCTAGATTCCCACATGGTTGATCATGGTTTGAATCCTGGACCTGGTAGCTTAAAATCCATGCTAAGCACATGTGTGTACATGCCCAAAATCCCAGGAGGAGAATGGAGAAGAAGGGACTTGGGTATGGCCATTCTCCTTGGGAGGTTATTTCTCACTTTGCCTCTCACTGTCTTTCTCTAATGAGCACATATGCCTATGGCAAAAACCTAAAATAAAAATTCTTCTGGTGTTTTATAAGGCTTACAACTGACCAGCCAACCCTCCCTCAGAAAATACCTTTAAATACGCATGTAAGTATGTATACCTTTAATCCACATCCCTGGCCCTGAATTAATGGTTTATGCTCCAGAACCATGCATTCAATTATATATAAGGTCATGTCTACTTGCAGAGTCATTACCATTTCAAAGTTGTACAAATTAAACTCCTTATCTCCCTCTTTTATTTTTTCCAAAGGGTGCATGTGGCTGCCAGAAAAAGAGAGAGAGATGGTGAGAAGGAAAGTGAGAAACCACCCCTCCTGGTACTGTGGGCACGCATGCACACATGCCCAGTGTGGTTTCAAGACACCAGGTCTAGGACTCCAACCATGGTCAACCATGTGGGAGTCCAGTGCCTTAACCACCATGACACCTGCTGGCCCATCTATTTAGATTTTTAAAAATCTCTCTTCCAGGGCCAGCAAGTGGCATGGTGGTTAAGGCACTGGACTTATTATAAAAATAAATAAATAAAGTTAAATAAAATAATTCTTTTAAAAAATCTCTCTTCTATTAATATAGTATCTCTCAGAGTAAAAGGGAAAAAGTGATCGATCATTAGCTATCATTTTTTTATTCCCTATATGCACTCTCTCTCTCTCTCGCTCTCTCTCTCTCAGTGCCTCATTCACTAAGTGCTGAGTATATGCTAGTTACCAAGTCTCTTCCAGTGAAAAAATGTTTGAGTCATTCATTTCTGTCTATTTCCACCACCATTTTCCTAACACATGTATTAATTCATACCTAGACTGCTACAATAAACTCTTATATCTACTGTCTCCCATCTAACCCTATCTACCATTTCTAAGATAACTCTCCCCAAAAAGCATTTTATTACTCCATTTAAAAAATAAGCTGCAGACACCTCCCCACCTTCTCATCCAAGGCCTTCCATAATGTGACCACCCCCTCCATAAACATACTCTGGGCCCTAACTCCACAACCGTACAAGCCACATCCTCCAATCTTATCATTTAAGGTTACTCTATAAGCTCCACACCTGCTTCCGCATTTGTGTGATCTCTTTTCATTTGGAATGCTATCTCCTCTATTAACCCAATTCCAAAGTCAATCTAAACTCTAATTCTTCTAACCTACTCTGAGTTTTCATTTTCTCTGAACACTTTATACCCTTATGATTCGGAAGATATACTGCAACACTCAAATGGTCTCACTTGTTTCAAAAACATTAGCTCTGGGACCAGGTGGTGTAATGGTTACATCACTAGACTCCCACATAGTCAACTGCGGTTCAAGTCCTAGACCCAGCAGCTTAAAATTCACACCAGGCACATGAGCGTGCATGACCAAAATTCTGAGAGAAGAATGGAGGAGGAAAGATTGCGGTGTGGCCATGCCCACAGGGGATGATTTCTCCCTTTTTGTCTCTATCTCTCTGGTGATTATGCATGCCCTACAGCAAAAATCTCTATCAAAAAGTTAACTCTTCTTTCCACCTAGATTTGGGAGCCAAAACTATGTCTGATACTACTTTTTTGTTTAGTATCTACAAAATCTACCAAAATCAAAACGTACTGAGCAAAATTATATTGTTGTTATGTTTTTATAAGCTATGGAGCCCACAGTTACAGCACTGGTCTAATATTTTTTTAAAGAATTACTGATTTAACTTTGCTTATAGTTATTTTTTTAAATTTGCTATAGGGCACATAAGCTCACCAGACAAAGAGAGAAAGAGACAGGGAAAGTGAGAAAGCAAGCCACCAGGTCTAGGACTTGAACCATGGTCAGCCATGTGGGAGTCCAGGCCCTAACCACCATGCCACCTGCTGGCCTTAACACTGGTCTACTTTTAAGGGGAAGGGAAAGGGTAGCAAAATTAAGTCCATAAAAAGTATAAAATAATAATGTTAAATTGATTACTATCAGTACACAAATGATCAAATCACTGATTTCTACAGATTTGTAGTAAATTTTTAAAAAAATAAACATTCTGTCATGGGGTATGCTAATAACTCTTACCAAGACCCATAAAAAAAGATTAAATGATTTAATATCCATTTCTTTTCAAATAACAATACAGTTCTCATCCTGATACGGTAATTCCTAGACACACAGCTATGCCAAAGCCAACCAAGTGATCTCCCAACACCAACTACTGTCAGCAACCTTTTGATCAAACCCATAAGGAAAAGAAACTTTACATGAGGTGCCAAAAGAGTGGTTCTTTTTTCTTTTCTTTTTAACTGAAACTTCATAAGAACACTCATCTTTTTTTTTTTTTTTTTTTGAGGGGTTTT